TGGAGGTGAACGATGCGTTTTGACCGATCTGATACGAAATGCGGACGCTGGGTGAACAATTATTAAATAAAACGTTTCGTTTGAAGGACAAGTGGCATACATCGATATCACTAGTGGCCAAATCAGCGGCAAACTCTTGTTCCGTCGACAGAGAAGAGGGAAGTTGCAACCAGATAACAAGAGTGTACACTGGCTGCGGAGTGTAGGAGGCAGGTGGAACTGTCCTGCTGCTCCTTCCGGGCGAAGAAATTTTTCATGTTGCCCTACGTCTAACCTTTCACTCAACAGTTTGAACTGCAAGATGGTCTTGTCTGGATTCTGAAGAATTTCCTACCACTTAGATTTAGGTGGAAATGTCATCAAGATACGGTTATGTGGCTGCGATTATTTTGCGGAGTGTAAAGGGAATAATTGCTTGGATGATGTTGAGCAACGTGTCTTCCCATTACCAGTTTACGGACCAAAACCGAATCAGAATACTGTTCTAGTTGAACGCGAACTACAACAGTGTGCACTTCCAGTACAATTCTGCAACGACAATTTGCCGTTCGTTCAAAATAGCCAGCACATATGTCTTTAAATGACACGTCCACAAGGTAATGGTGCCCAGATACACGGCGTTTTCTACGACAAATTGAGCAAAGGGAAATAACCACATTTCCACCCATCTACCTATTTCAATATCCCAAAATAAAGCCTCCCAACGAATACGCTGTGGTTTGCGGTGTCCGATGTATAGCCATCATGATCTCCATTCACACCAATACGTGCTGGTTTCCCGCCTTACACAGCAGTTGTTTGAGGCGAAGTAGCTAGGCGTTCCGAAATGTCCCGTCTTAAATTGCTAGGAATTCGGTTGTGCACGGCTAGATGCTATTCTGCTAAGCGGTGAGACCCTTAAACTGCAACTGTGTGAGTGGCAAGCGAGAAATGCACGTTTGTTTTTTTAGCGGATACTTCGCATCTTCAAATGTATTAGTATTCCAAAGTTATTTCGCGAAGTAGTTTATTCAGTGTTGTTCCGTCAGCGGAAACCGAAATATCTTATCCCTTTCATCCGAACCAATTTTCCGATTCAGGGGGCCTGCTGCTATCTTGAGACACTTTTGATTTGCTTGTGTTGCGAGTTTGAATATTGCTGACGATCTTATCTATTCCATAGATAGAATCCTTGTTAACCAACATTCTACTAAGAGAACCGGTGGCATTTTTGTGCATTTATCACGAATAAAATTGTGGCTTCCCCGATTCCCATGGAATGTCTCACGGATCTGCTGCCATTATGTGCATAAAATGTGCACTTCTTTTTTGAGGATCGTGTATCTCAACAGGTAGTTGATATGTTATTGGGAAATCCGCTTGGCCAGATGATGTCTGACGTCGTCATGGCAGTGCTCGAGTCCAGGTGTGAAGCCTCCCTGAGCCCGATGTACTGTTTATGGATAACGCATCTGTGATTGCTCCAAGTGTAAGTACCACTCAGTGTGTTCAACAACGCCCATCCCAACGATCGTTTCACCTGTTAACTACAAAACGGCATCTGTGACTTTTGTGGATGTATTGTTGACCAGACGAGAAGACTGCTCGATATGGCGCTCTGTTTACGCGGAAATCACATGGACTGGGCTGTATGAGAACTTCACGTTGACCCAGTACAAGGGTTGCCTTGTCAAGATGTAGAATATGCAACGCCAACTGTATGAAATCGAAATTGTCCTTCATCGCACAGACATTGCGTGCCAATGGATATCCAGAAGCATTCATTAGATTTTCCAGTCTCCTGTGGGAACACAAATTACTTTCTAAAATGCCTATCTATCTACAACTACTCCTCAAGATTAAAGTCGTGACGGTGCAACTTGAACGACGGTTGAGCACAGCTATTCGCCGTTCATTCAGCGCTTCTAAATTCTGTCATATTTGAACGACCAGAAAATTGCTGCAGCCTTTGGTCCCGCCCGCTCAACCGGTCTGCGCCATAATCCATTGCATCTACCGATTCGTCTCCAGCTATGGAAGCAGTTAGAATGGAAGGACAGATGATTATCTGGGTTCGCGGATGTGTGGACCAGGCCACACGTCAGGGAGCAGCAAGCAAACTGCTGACCTCATCCATCGCTAGACACCAAATAGGTACAGATCATCGATTTGATCCCGACTCGAAGTTTACAATTGTCTGCTGAAACGAAAACGGCAGGGTGCTTACGTTTGCCGTGGCCGTGACCCTTAATCGTCACCGTCCTACATTTTTGTACAAAGCCAACTGGCGTTAGCACTAAAGCTTCCTTGGGTTTCATTACATTTACCACAGTCCGCTTCCAGATGCTTTGTTCGCAAGATTGAATGGAGGTGAATGTTTCGCAAACCTGGATCCCTCTGATGCATACCTGCAGATCGAGTTACATGAAGCTTCACGAGACTTACTCATTATCAATACGCATCGAGGTTTTGTTCAGTATCACCGTCTTCCATTTGCAGGCAAGTCTGCACCAGCCATATTCCAACAGATCATGGGCACAAGGCTGACATATATCGATGCAGCAGCCACATACCTGGATAATATCATTGTTGTCGGAGGCAGTGCTAATGACTTATTCGAAAAGTTGGACCGAGTTCTTGGTCGTGTAGAGGAATATAGATTCAGACTCCGACCTGAGAACTGCACCTTCTTTATGGACTTGATTACGTTGCTCGGCTTTATACTCGACAGGAACGGCATGCGTCCAGACCCAGTGGACATCGAGGCAATCAAGAAGATATCGCCGCCCAAAGTTGTGGCAACACTAAGGTCCTTCCTAGGGTTCATATGCCATTACAGCGCGTTCCTACCCCACATACATCGCTTGTTTGGCCCACTCAATGACCTGCTGACCAAAAATAAACGCTAGAGATGGTCTGAGAAATGCCAGAACTCATTTGACGAGGTCAGTAGGCTACTATGTTCCGAACTTCTGCTGACATTACGACCCTACTTCGGAGATTTTGGTGGCTGCATACGCCTTGAACTATGGCATTGGTGCAGTAATGGCCCACAAGTTCGCAGATGGTTTATCAAAGGCAATTGCACATGCATACCTGTCGGTCTCTCGCAGAGCGAAATTATGGTCAGCTAGAGAAAGAAGCCTTGTCGATAGTCTTCGTTGTGAAAGAATTTCAAAAGATGCGGTATGGAAGGAAGTTTACACTTTTTACTGACCCTAAGCTTCTGTCGGCACTTTTCGGGTCAAAGTCAGTTATCCCTATCTATACGGCAAACAGGTTGCACAGAATAGGTTGTTTGCTTGGACACGTGCTACGTATGCCTGGTCATCGCTTACCTAGGAGGGCCTCGTTTAGTCTGCTATGTGTAGGGTGGCTCAAGCCTCAAGGTGGACAGAAGTTGAATTTGCTGCGAGAAATGCAGTCAGTGATGACCAAACTTTATGCCGTCGGTCCGTTTCGCCTTCCCTGTTGGAGTCCACGTGACCCGCCTTTTGCTTCGCTCGAGACTTTACAGGACATGACTCGCAACCGACACTAGTGGCGCGTCTTTTGCCGTCCAGTCGGATTGCTTGTTTAAAGTGTGTTTGGTGCTGGGTTCTCTGCGTGGTGATAGCTGCTTATGACGCGGAGCAGTAAAAGACGCAAGGAAGCTCTCTCGCCGATGCGCCTTATGTTTGCACGATAGCCAACTGTTTGTGACGGTATGTTATTACTAGGCGTAGGCGCGTTGACCCTGAATGTTTGCTTGGGACATTAAGGTTTTAAGGTAAGTTCCCCTTCTCTCCTTATCATTCTTCGTTCCGTAGGTTGTAGTGGTTGTATGGCAGCGAAGCATCAGTTCAAGTGGCTGATGTACTTTTGTTGTTGATTAACGTTGAAGGCTGCCAGTCGAACCGGAGAACGGTGCCGATGGAGGCCACTGGTGGTACTCTTTGGACATCAGAGTTAGCTTGATAGGAATTATTCACGATCCTGGGATTGGTTTGTTATTGTGGTGCGTAAGTTGTGAGTGTCGCAGGAGCGTGAGTGAACGACATAGTGGTAATAGTAGTTGAGGCATCCGTTTTTTCAGCGGATGTATACTACCCGGTTGCCCAAACCGACGTAGGGAGTTGTCGTAGGGGACATCATCCCGAGCCTTTGGCTGAGTAGTCTACCCGCAAGGCAGTGGGGCGAATTCACGGGAATCGCGCCCATTGGTTACCGGTGACCGATTACTCAGTTCATACGACTTCCGTATGGACACTTACCAAACAGGGGCCCAATTCTCTCTACAATTTCAGTATCAGATTGCTGTAACCCAATGCAATGAAGCAAGGAGCACTGACTTTGTTATTAAACAGACACGTGACCTCTTATATGTTGAGAATGCTTGTCATGCGAAAACCCACCAAACTATTGGCAGGACGGAGGAATCCAACAACGAATCCGTTTGACTGGATATGACTTTGTGCATTTACATACTATGTATGTATATGTACGAATAAAAAGCATGTTTTTTGCATATGGTGTACATTCTGTATTTTATATTTCCTCTCGTTTTCGTCTTCTCTTCGACATCACACCTATGAGCGAACTTCCATATGTTCCGCAAGTGAGCGCTCGGAAATGTATGGCGCATATGCAAAAAAGTTTTCTTTCCACCCATCGTTTTATTTAATCGCATTGGAGGGTTATGTTGTTTTAAATCCCTTAGCATAATTCTTCACATGCATCCCATTTGGTGTATCGCTGAGCCAACGGATGTTCTATGCAGTTTGCAGCCAGTTACATTCTTCCTCTTCATCGTATATCCTAGTCAAGTACGCCTCACAATCTTATTAGCTTGCATTGGTGACCAGAGCTCCATCAGTTACATCAAAACAAACTCCTTATTTTGCGTAACCTCTTTGACCTAATTGTATGACTGAAATTCTCAGTGAAGCTTTCTGTTGTTGTCAATCTAGTTAGAAGCACTTCGCATCTGTCGTCGCTTATTCTTCTTACCGTTGTTAACATTGTTTTATTTGTTATCGCAGACAAGAGGCCCCACGCGTGCGAACATTGCGGCCGATGCTTCTCTACAAAGTTTGTGTTGACAAGACACCTTGAGTTTGTGCATTTGAGTGAGTATTCCCTTGAGCATGTTTTAAGCATTGCAACTAAGTTTACAGTTATTCTGCTAAATTTCTTCTATATGCCACGCATTGGCGCTATTTCTAACTTGGTGCTACGCGATATATGTGACGTCGTTGTGCACCCACTCTGGTTTCCATGCCCTTTTGCGTTAGTGACTTCACGTAACCAAACTACTCACTGACTGAGTCATTACGCTACACCCCCGTGATTTAAGATTGCTACTTTTCCAACTCTCTTGCCAAGCTCTGTAGGCACATGTTCACGTATACAGCCACTCTGGCCTACCAGTGTTTCTAGTAACTTCGATCTCCTGCCATGATCGATCTTTACTATCTTCTGGCAGCATTGGTTTCATGATCCGTTGAGTTTCGTGTGAATGGCACGCGGAACTGTTTGACGTGTCATCCCGAGTCAACGCATCAACTGTCTGTCATTGTGTATGCTATGGTTAACTCCCTTGTGAGTTCACTGGTCGGCTTTTCGCATGTGTCTACGAAGCGATGCGGGAACCTGAATGTGATTGCCCTTGGAAAGCAAGCTATCGGAGAAAGTGAGTTCATCCTGGAGTTGAAATGGAGTGCCGGTTTCTTTGGGATCTGCCCCTAACACAGTAGCCACTTGAAATAAATGAGAATATCCGTAGCTCGTGGTGTGGATGCGGATTTTGAGTTGTTCGTCGAGCTGAGTGGATATTTTGCAGACCTTTCATTGCCAGACGAAGCAGCATCATCAGTGCAGCTTCAGTGGCCTGGTTCGCAGTGCTTCGTAAGCGACTTCAATAGCCACTCTTTTGCGTTAACTTCTCGCAACTATGTCAACAGTGCGTCCTCCTTTGTGTGGACCTTTTCGCCACTGCCAGATGTGGTTTTGACCTGTTTCTGAAGGGGTTCGCATGTTAGGGATGAGCTTTTGACATAGCATCTGCCTTGCCATGTTCCGTCACCTGTTCTGTCATACTTATGTAGAAGCACTTAATTGTTCCTTTTCTTGCGACACTGTCAGTTTGGTACCTTGCGTGTGATATAGACTCGTCATGTGAGCATGCGTTCTACTGACCGACTAGAGGTAACACGCTATCTGATACCACTTTCAACACCTCATATTCTTCGACTGTGTAGTGCACTGTTCACCTCGTGTCTTAATCCAACTAGGCACAATAGTGGCAATTAAACACGCGCAGAGATCCGTGCACTGTGCTCACCAGTGAGTTTGATGGTCCATGGAATTGTTCTTGGATACTGTGCTAACTTAGGCGTTTGTTCTTACTAGAAAGCCGTGGTAGCTGGCTTCCAACTGTGTGCGATATACGTCAGTCGCCTCGCTGTCTTGTGGGTCAGGTCTTTATAACCCAAAGCTCTGAGTGGGACCCCGTAGGTCGATTCTGTTTCTCGGCCTGGACAGCCGGGAAGCTACGTGCTCACACAACTTATTAGACCAATGTTTTGACGACTATCTCCTCTCTCTCTCTCTCTCTTTGCCAATAATACCCTCGGCTGAGGTGCTAGCGATAGAACATGCTTTCGTATAAAATACCCATTTTAGTTACCAGATTCGAGAAAAACGGAGGGGGAACGCGTAAACCAAACAATTATTTTCGGTTTCTTCATCCTAAGGCTTAGTACAAAAATATACTTTAATTATCAAGTCTGTAGCACAGTACAGAAATAAATTGGATAAAATCAAAAAGCTCTCGTGATGTACGTCGACCAGTGCTTCCTTTTCAATCTGGCTGTAGTTTCTCTCGGCTTCTGTCAAAGTCTTGGCCGCGTAACCGATAGACTTCTAGGATCCGTTTGGGTACATATGCGAAAATAACTGCCCCGATCTCGTGATTTGATGCGTCTGTTACGAGAATGATCTGCGTTTGTTCGTACTGAGTCAGCAACAAGTCTGAAGCCAGTAATGACTTGATTCGTTCAAAGGTACGCTGGCACTCTCGTTTACATTTCCAGGCGTGATCTTTGGTCAGAAGGTTGTTCGGTAGGGCAAGGAGACGATGCATCTCAGGCGAAATGCCCTATAGCGACGGATGAGACCACAGACTAAACGCAACGGTTGAACATCTGTTGGTGAGTGCATCTTCCTTATGGCTTCGACGTTTGCCGGATCTGGTCGATGGCCATTGTCTTCAAGGATAAATTCAGGGTATTTGATCGTTAGCGTGAAAGAAATACATCTGTCTTCACGAATCTAGCAACCATACGGCTGGATACGACCAAACACCTCCGCTGTTCGACCCATTACGATGATGTCGTCGAGATATGCGGCGGCTCCAGGAGCTCTTGTGAGCATGGTATCAGCTGTTGCAAATGGCTGGTGCCGTTTTTACGCCAAAAGGCAAGTGCTTGTACTGAACACAGCTCTCAATCGCTTTTTTGCTGCTGGCCCGGATTCCCTCCTACCTGAACTATTTAAGGATGGAGGTGAGGTCTTCTGCAACTTACTGACCACCTCGTTGGAACTTATATGGAATAAGGAAGCTTTCCCGGCCAACATGAGTGAATCGATTATAATGACAATATATATACAATCAAGGCAACTGCACTGACTATGCTAACTACTGGGATATTAGCCTAAACCCCATTGTCACAAACTTACTGGTCTCAATTCTCATTCGTCGCCTCAGTGCGGAACGGAAATCCTGGATAAGAGAAGAGCAGGCAGGTTTCCGCCATGAACGTGCCTAAATAAACTATATCTTTACTCTGCGGCAAGTGCTAGAGCAGCGCCACGCATACTGCAAACCGACGATAGCTGTATTCCTCGAGTTTAAGAGTGTGTTTGAATCAGTGGATCGAAGCATTGTATTCAAAATACTTGAGTGGAAAGGTGTTCCTACGAAATATGTAAACACTTTACATGACCAATACTCGAACAATAGACGCCGCGTCAGGGTCTACGGCGACCTGCCAGCTAGCTCTACGAAACAAGCGGCTTTCGTCAGGATTGCCGGATTTCCCCGTTTAGTTCGTCGTGGTCTCCATCATGGAGTGTTCCCATGAGTAATTTCACGATACAGACGTTGAGGTGCTCCCTGGTGAAAATCTAGTTGGTCTTGATTATGCGGACGATATCGTCTTGCTGTTTAATGACATAGGGGCGACATAATCCACCCTGAATAGCCTCTTAAGTGGCCCCATTATTTGGTATGCGCTTAGCACTTTCAAAGTGCTAAGTGTTGTTGCAGGACCATCAGCCACTTGATGATCGCTTGCGATGAACTCGAGGTATTTGATCAATTCACTTACTTGGCAGTAGGATCAGCATAGATGGGCGCATGGCAACTAAAGTCAGTTCATGTATTGCAAAAGCTAGTAATGCCTTCATGAACTGCGGCACATTTGGCGACAGAAGGGAGTTGCCTTCCGTCTGAAAGACCGTGTTTACACGGCCATCCTGCTGTATGAGAGTGAGAATTGATCCCTTCGGTCTGAAGATTTGAGGCGATTTCAAGTCTTTGATCCTCGCTGTCTGCAGAGCATCGCTGGTGTCGGGTGGCACTAGCATGTCCGCAACGATGAAGTGCGTAGGCCAATACTAGGCAGTGATAGCACTGAATAAGTTGCGTTGGCTTGGACAAGTACTACGTATGCCCGGTCACTGCTTACCGAAGAATGCCTTGTCTTGTCTGTCGGAAGTTGAATGGCGCAAGTCTCGAGGTGGACGAAAGTCGACTTCGCAGTGGGAATTGAAGTCACTGACGACCAAAGTGCGTACCGTCGTTCCGTCTCGCCTTCCTGGCTGGAGTCTACTTAACCCGCGTTGTACTGACTCATCTGTTTGTTACTGTCTTATTATGACACGGGGATGTGAAAGCTGCAAGGAAGCTGTCTCCCTGATGCCACCTTACTTTTGCACGATAGCCAGCTGTTTGTTATGGCGTGTTGTTTACAATGCGTGTGCACGTTAGGTTTTTACGGTAAGTCTCCCTTCTCTCCCTCTTATTATTCTTCGTTCCGTAGGTCGTTATGGTCGTATGACAGCAAAGCATCAGTTGAGACTCCTGAGATACTACTGTTGATGATGCTAATTCTGTAGCCGTGTTCCGAAACTCTGCACAATCCCCTATGCATGTGAACAGTGCGATAAATCGTTTTCACAGAATTTCAAAATGCGAAACATCTCGAATCTGTTCACTCGAAGTAGTGTTTAATTGATGGTGGCAATTAAATTCCTTTTCCCACTTGCGTTGTACCCTTGTTGCTGGTGTCACATGACTTCGGTTTGATCAGCCATAAAACTTGCTGCAGCTGCTTGTTTTATCCTTCTCACAGCCCAGAATCATGTAATTCTGCAGCTTGTACTATTTTTAAATTCTTCCACTGCATCGGTTCTAGTAGCGAAGCTCAAACGCTCCTCGCAACTGAGAACGCACTGCTACTTGTACTGTAATAATAGTTATTGCACTTTCGTGACAAGCACTTATCTCATTTATGGTTATAGAACTTGGGCACTCACGTTCGAATAATAACACAGTTGCACTGGTGCAGTTGAAGCAGGAGGGGCATGTACAAATCACCTCATGACGCAGTGATGGCTTGTAATCATTGAGGTGGGCTTGAAATGCTGTTCATCAGTTCTGTGCTCCCCTACAAAGTCGGCGACACGACGTTTACGTGCATTTGGCTCTTTACAGATACATCGGTAGACGGAGGGTAATTGACCCCATGGATATGCCTACAGCTATTTGTAGAAAACGCTTTTTGCATTTGACGGTCACAGCAACTTTTCAACGCTTTTGTACTTTTGTGTATCAATAAATTCATTTGAGTTGTCTGTGCTGTATTTTTCAAGGAAGTCGTTACTTCTATGGATCGACATTGTGTTACAGATGAAAGGCTAAAGCTGGACACATCCTGTAGAATGGTCCGTTTGAAATATCTCTCTTCAGTGATAAACGTTGGTTACTAGTTAGTTCACGCATTTATCAGTCAAGTCAAATCAAGAATGCGCTTTTCTGCACCCATGACGGGTGAATTTTCAGCCTTCACACACACGCTATCGATATTACAACAAAGCCAGTTCAGCAGAAACAGAGCAAACAGCAATCTAAGGCTCAATACAATAACATTCTCACTGGCGGAATTTACTGGGCAATTGCTTTATAGAGCAGCATTTTAGTCGAAATGTAATCCGACTGAATAGGATATGCTCGACGTACAGTATGCTTTCGTTCGGGTGTATATTGCACTGTACTTTTGTCTAGTCGACGATTGTATGTATTCGATTGGGAACTGCAATGTGAATATTGTGGTAAATGTCAACGAATATTTCTGAAGAAGTTTAGTGCATGAATTTACGCGCGTCGATACAATCGTTTTCACCGAAGTTGCTTTTGGAACACCACTACAGTGGGACAAAGGCTTCAGGGACCTGTCGAGCAGCTTGAAATGCTTACACAGTAGGCCTGGAAAATTCGCAGGATAAAAATAACTCCAGTGTGGTAGAATACACGCAGTAATGAACTTCAGAATCAGATTGTATGGTACACAGGGCGATCACAATGGTGCGACGTAAAACGAAATTCGCTTTATTTTAGTGCATATTTGATTGCCATGGAGTGGCCCATGACAAATGGTGGCTCAGTGTAACTCCGTTTCAGAGTGCGTGGTGGGATGTCACGCTTTGAGCCGGCGTGCATTCTGTTTAAGTACGGCATAAGCCAAATGAAGATACGGCTAACACGCGAGTCCATCCCGCTATAAGGTTGCTTGGCCTTCCATTAGACCCGACCCGAACTCTTTTTACCTTATGGGTCATGTAAAACTCGGGCTTTTATTCCCATTAAATACCATGTTCCACGTCTGAAGGACAGGAACTTCGGTCTATTGGGAAGTGACGGGTGAGTGAGCAATCTGCAACATCAGGACAGGTACTGTGAGCTTATTGGCAACACGTCGCGCACCAAGCAGAAGACATGTGTTAAAATTTGCGCACCTAATCGTCAGCCCTCGGTAACTCAGGTGGTAGAGCAGCGGACCGGAAATTCGTGGACCGGGGTTCGACTCCCCGTCGAGGCATATTATTGTGCGTGAATTTTAATCGTGGCTTCTACTTTCTTCGAACTTTACACTACTCCCAAACATCCACCATTAATCTACCATCGCCCACTGGACGTCTGAAGGACAGGAACTTCGGTCTATTGGGAAGTGACGGGTGAGTGAGCCAATCTGCAACATCAGGACAGGTACTGTGAGCTTATTGGCAACACGTCGCGCACCAGGCAGAAGACATGTGTTAAAATTTGCGCACCTAATCGTTAGCCCTCGGTAGCTCAGGTGGTAGAGCAGCGGACCGGAAATTCGTGGACCGGGGTTCGACTCCCCGTCGAGGCATATTATTGTGCGTGAATTTTAATCGTGGCTTCTACTTTCTTCAAACCTTGTATTAACAACGTGCCGTCACAAGCAGCTCGCTATTGTGCAAAGATTAGGCGGCATCAGTGAGGCAGCTTTCTTGCAGCTTTCACTGCTCGCGTCATAATCAGACATTACACTGCAGATAACTCAGCACCACACACACGACAAACAGGCAGTCCGATTAGGAGACAGCAGCAAACGCGCCATTTGTGTATGCTGCGAGCCATGTCCTATAAAGTCTCGAGCGAAACACAAGGCGGTTTACGTGGTCTCCAGCCAGGAAGGCGAGACGGACCGACGGCACGCACTTTGGTCGTCAGAGACTTCATGTCCCACTTCGAAGTGAACTTTCGTCCACCTCCAGACTTGCGCCACCCAACTTCTGGCAGTCAAGACAAGGCATTCTTCGGTAAACAGTGACCGGGCATACGTAGTACTTGTCCAAGCCAACGCAACTTATTCAGTGCTATCCGTTGTTTTAAGGAACTGGCTTGGTCCTCACTGCCTCGCACTCGCCTACACATATCATCGTTGCGGACACGCTAGTGCCACCCGACACCAGCGATGCTCTGCAGACAGCGAGGATCAAAGAATTGAAGACGCCTCAGATCTCCAGACCGAAGGGGCCAATTCTTACTCTCATACGGCAGGATGGCCCTTACTATGGCCGTGTAAACACGGTCTTTCAGACGGACGGAAACTCCCTTCTGTCGCCAAATATGCCGCAGTTCATGAAGGCATTACTAGGTTTTGCAATACATGAACTGACTTCAGTTGCCATGCGCCCATCAATGCTGCTCCTGGAGCTAATTTACGTAAGTTGGTCAAATACCTCGAGTTCATCGCTATCTAAGGCCAAGCGATCATCAAGTGGCTGATGGTCCTGCAACAACACTTTGCACTTTGAAAGTGCTAAGCGCACACCAAATAATGGGACCACTGTGCACTGTGCACTGTGCTCACCAGTGAGTTTGATGGTCCATGGAATTGTTCTTGGATACTGTGCTAACTTAGGCGTTTGTTCTTACTAGAAAGCCGTGGTAGCTGGCTTCCAACTGTGTGCGATATACGTCAGTCGCCTCGCTGTCTTGTGGGTCAGGTCTTTATAACCCAAAGCTCTGAGTGGGACCCCGTAGGTCGATTCTGTTTCTCGGCCTGGACAGCCGGGAAGCTACGTGCTCACACAACTTATTAGACCAATGTTTTGACGACTATCTCCTCTCTCTCTCTCTTTGCCAATACTACCCTCGGCTGAGGTGCTAGCGATAGAACATGCTTTCGTATAAAATACCCATTTTAGTTACCAGATTCGAGAAAAACGGAGGGGCAACGCGTAAACCAAACAATTATTTTCGGTTTCTTCATCCTAAGGCTTAGTACAAAAATATACTTTAATTATCAAGTCTGTAGCACAGTACAGAAATAGATTGGATAAAATCAAAAAGCTCTCGTGATGTACGTCGACCAGTGCTTCCTTTTCAATCTGGCTGTAGTTTCTCTCGGCTTCTGTCAAAGTCTTGGCCGCGTAACCGATAGACTTCTAGGATCCGTTTGGGTACATATGCGAAAATAACTGCCCCGATCTCGTGATTTGATGCGTCTGTTACGAGAATGATCTGCGTTTGTTCGTACTGAGTCAGCAACAAGTCTGAAGCCAGTAATGACTTGATTCGTTAAAAGGTACGCTGGCACTCTCGCTTACATTTCCAGGCGTGGTCTTTGGTCAGAAGGTTGTTCGGTAGGGCATGCAGACGATGCATCTCAGGCAAAATGCCCTGTAGCGACTGATGAGACCACAGACTGAACGCAACGATTGAACATCTTTTGGTGAGGGCATCTTCCTTACGGCTTCGATGTTTGCCGGATCTGGTCGATGGCCATTGTCTTCAAGGATAAATCCAGGATATTTGATCGTTAGCGGGAAAGAAATACATTTGTCTTCACAAATCTGGAAACCATACGACTGGATACGACCAAACACCTCCGCTTTTCGACCCATTACGATGATGTCATCGAGATATGTGGCGGCTCCAGGAGCTCTTGTCAGCATGGTATCAGCTGCTGCAAATGGCTGGTGCCGTTTTTACGCCAAAAGGCAAGTGCTTGTACTGAACACAGCTCTCAATCACTTTTTTGCTGCTGTCCCGGATTCCCTCCTACCTGGAATGTTTAAGGATGGAGGTGAGGTCTTCTGCAACTTACTGACCACCTCGTTGGAACTTATATGGAATAAGGAAGCTGTCCCGGCCAACATGAGTGAATCGATTATAATGACAATATACAATCGGGGCAGCTGCACTGACTATGCTAACTACTGGGATATTAGCCTAAACCCAGTTGTCACAAACTTACTGGTGTCAATTCTCGTTCGTCGCCTCACCGCGGAACGGAAATCCCGGATAAGGGAAGAGCAGGCAGGTTTCCCCCCTGAACGTGCCTAAATAAACTATATCTTCACTCTGCGCCACACAAACCGACGATAGCTGTATTCCTCGACTTTAGGAGTGCGTTTCATTTAGTATATCGATGCATTGTGTTCAAAATACTTGAGCGGAAAGGTGTTTCTACGAAATACGGGAACATCTTATATGATCTATCCTCGAACACTAGAGGCCACGTCAGGGTCTACGGTGACCTGCCGGCTAGCTCTACGAAACAAGCGGCTTTCGTCAGGATTGTCGGATTTCCCCGTTTTTGTACAATTTCGTCGTAGACTCCATTCTGGAGTGTTCCCTTGCGGAATCTCACGATGCAGGCGTTGAGCTGCTCCCTGGTGAAAATCTAGTTGGTTTTGATTATGCGGACGATGTCGTCTTACTGGGGCGGCACAATCCACCCTGAATAGCCTCTTAAGTGCTCCCATTATTTGGTATGCGCTTAGCACCTTCAAAATGCAAAGTGTTGTTTCAGGATCATCAGCCACTTGATGCTCGCTTGGTCTTAGATAGCGATGAACTCGAGGTATTTGATCAATTCACTTGCTTGGCAGCAGGATCAGCATTGATGGGCGCATTGCGTCTGAAGTCAGTTCACGTAATGCAAAAGCTAGTACTGCCTTCATGAACTGCGGAATATTTGGCGACAGAAGGGAGTTTCCGTCCGTCTGAAAGACCGTGTTTACACGGCCATTGTAACGGCCATCCTGCTCTATGAGTGTGAGAATTGGT